GAGAGCCACACAGATTTGACTTTCTCTAGAGAGCTGACTAATGATGAACGGAAGCAAATACATCAGATTGCCCAGAAGTATGGTCTTAAGAGTAAGTCTCATGGGGTGGGCCATGATAGGTACCTGGTAGTAGGTAGAAAAAGACGGAAGGAAGACCTACTAGATCAGCTCAAACAGGAAGGCCAGGTGGGGCATTATGAGCTTGTCATGCCTCAAGCAAATTGAGATCTTGCTAATTTATTTTGTAAATGCCTAATGAGGCAGATTTATAAGTTAAATGCTACATGTTCTGGTTGCAGAGTATATTCATTCTTAAAATGTCTCACCTTGTTCATTTCATATAGCGCTTTATTAGATATTGGAAGCTGAAGAATTCTGTCCACTTGTATTAGCTTAATCCAGCAGATGATATTGTGCAGTTACTGTTTGTGTCTTTGATATTGCTGTGTCCTTCAGAATTTAGTACTTTGTACAAGCAACAACACATAGCCAAATGGGATTTCACCCCGAGGAAGAAATTCTCATTTTAAAGGGCATAGCACAGCAATCTGCAACAATATGTAAAGTTGATATTGACTACAGTAAAACTCCAGTCTTAATTCCAGACTTAACTGAAAATGTCAGATCATTTTGTATTATCTATTTTCATCTTTGTGTGAAGCCAGTTATAGAATGTTTAACAGTAAAATGTGCTGTACATGTAAATGTTCTTATCAACTAAATGATGTAAAACTTTCTTAATTTTAGTGTTCATTTATTTATAACTTCTACCATGTGATTTCCAGAATATTGGAAGTGACTTACTGTATCTTGTGATATATGGGTTTTAACAAATTCTAGTCTTCATGCTGAGAGAGCACTTCTTGAGAGAGCAGTTGAAAAGTTTCAAAAACTTTGATTCAATCTGAAGAAAGGAAGCTTGAACTGTTTGTTCTTGGTGCCTTGCAGAGAGACTCACAGCAACTCTCCATTATAGCTTTCACATGGTTTGGGTGTACAGCACATCCTAAGCAACCACAGCTGTGGTAGAGCTTGGTAAAAGACTGAAGATACATTTGGTGCTTTGATGAAAAGGTCAGTTGGCTGGTCCCTCTCTCAAAAAGCTTATTAAGCCTGAAAAGCCAACTTTGTAACATATTTAAAAACTGCTATTTTCGCTTATTTCTGGAATGTAAAAAAATGTACAAAAAAGAATTAGTGTATGCTTCCAGAATAAAAAGGAGCCAAAGTTGATCAAAATGGTGGTGTGCTTATTTCTGGGCAGCAGCCTAGTAGCGACACTTTGGGTCTTTGGAAAAGGGAAGTGGTGTTTGCATAGAATATTTCAATACCAGAGCACATGTGGATAAACGATGATTTTATACAGAGAAGAACAGATAGGAATCACTCACCCATCATGGTTTTTTTTTTCCTATGGACCAACATGCTGGCTTTAGCCAAATCTTTGGCTGTTCATTTTTATGTGATTTTGTTTTTGTATGTCAGATAAATCAAGTATAACCTATAACAGCACAGATGAATATTAATATTGATGGTTAAACACCTCCAATAAGATGATGTTCAAGACAATTAGGTTATAATGTCTTAAAACATTTAGTGCCATGCTTGACATGTAATTGGCCCATAATAGTAATTTCCTTTCCCCTATTTTTTTCTATTTTACAATTAAGAAGCTGTCCACCATAGTTAAATGAATATTTACAAAATATAAAAGGATTAACCTCTACACCTGGATCTCTGTAACTTGTAGTCACCTACAGTGACTAACACAGTGTGATATTTGCTTTCCATTAACCATCTTTATATAGCATGGAATAGCCTTTCCTAATGTTGGTAGGAAGAGAAATGAAGTGTGCATTTATTTTGGCACTTAATATTTTAACAATGGCAAAGGGAACTAAGCTAAAATCTTTATAGATTTTATGGGACTACAATTTCTTATTACCTGCAAGGTTCATGCCAACCTTGAGAAGCTATGGTTCATTTAGTGAGTTAGAAAAACCTGTCTTCAATTCTGTGAGTAAGAGTGGCTTTGGGGATTAAGGGATGTGAAAACTTGACTCATTTCTGTCTACATTTCTTCCTTCCCCCCACCCAGTGATTTTTTTGGAGGGAAAAAGTAGGGAAATGTGACATATAAATCTGGGTTATTTAGGTGAGTCCAGCAGAATATTAAGGCAGTTACAGTAAGGAAAGCTCCCAAAATATTGGGCCAAGTATATACAAATTTAGTTGCTGGATTTAAGGGGCCAGATCCCTAATCTCTTAGATTAGCTTTGGTACTGATGCAGAATTAGAGTGAAATCACTTAACTCTGCTTGATGATGAAATAATCATGAGAAATGGGGTTGGCAAGAATGACCTGATGACAACCTTGTTGTTCCACTTTGTCCCCTTGAGTCGGTTCCTGTATTTTCCCTTTCTTTGAAATAGCAATCATTTTAAACCCAGTAACCTTGCTATAAAACCTGCCCAGGTACGTGAGCAATTTCAAGTTTTATTTGGATTAAATATGTTATACTGAGGAACTAACTCTGCTTTCAATTTTATATATAGCATTGAGTCTCACAGATCTACTTCTTGGATTTTTTTTCCTCCCCTTTGATTACAAAATAAATGGAAATATCATGCATTCTGTTGGGTTTCTTTTTTTAGTATTATACAATGCATTCTCTTTGCTATGAGTAACCCCTGAAGCTGGAGATGGGTCCTAAATAAAGGACTCTAATTACAACTTTGATTCTTCATCTTACCCCCTTCCCCACATCAGCAGGTGCAGAATTGAAAACTCAAGTTCAGATGTGACTGCCATTTGGAAAGGGACCTTGCAAATCTGTTTTAGTTAACTTTTTTATAATTATTACATGCAGCTTGTGATGTTTGTTAAAAATTGTAAAGGGGAAAAACAGCAATTAGCATTAAGCATTCAAATGAATAGTTTGTGGTGCCTTTGACTATGGATATGACGTTTTGGGAGTTCGGCTCATTGGCTGTGTTGTAAGGTTTTAAAAGGACTAGCCCATGAAAGAGATTGGGAATAATGTTTCTCAGGATGTGTACAAAAGAAAAAGTTATTAAATCTGTCCATTCCTAGTCTCACCTTAAATTTTGGGGGGTATAATTAATAGTGGCAATATTTAAGATGCCCAGCCACAGCAGGATGAAAAAATTAAGACTAATCCAACAAGTAAAAACCAACTTAATATGGTTCTACTTTGAGGCAGAAATGGACTTGAGGGAAAATATTAAGCACATTTAAGGACATTGCTGCTAGGTGAAACAATCCAATTAATGTGGTAATGAGTGTAGATGCAACTCCGCCAAATTGAGGCCTAAGTACCATATCTTGAAGGATGAGTGGGGTACAAGCATCATAAGGACATAATTTCATTAAGCAAACACTCCACCTCACCCAAACAAGTACTAAGAGGTGATAGTTTTTACAAAGTTATTGTCCTTGTCTCTAAAGATGGGTTGCTCCTCAGAAGAAAGCAAAGTTTTGTTTAAACAAGATGATTGAGGATACCTATACTCCCAAACTTTACATAGGATTCAAAACATGATTTTATAATAGTTTGGTGCTGTTTGTTTTTAAGCCAGGGCTTTTAAAGACGTGGAATGTCAAGATCAAGTTAGAGCTTGGTCTCTGAGGTTGCTGGTAAATATCCAGGTTTGTTTTCCTCCCCTCTTGTCACAATTTCATTCCCTTGACTTACCATAATGTATACTGAAGTAGCTTTCTTTAATATTGTTGAAATGTTAAAAAAGCATTACCACTTAGGACTGAAAAGAAAAAAGGTTCTCTCCAACAGTATCTACTGTCTTCTCTTTTCTACTCCCAGGATGAGTATTTTTGCTTTTACCATAATGTTCAAGGGGAAAATGAGTAGATACCAGATCCCCAAAAAACTTTAAAGTTTATACTGAACTAAAATATACTTTGACTATGAAATTTTAAGGTTATTTTTATTTACAAGTTTTGAAAAATGTACATTTTTTACATGGGTTACTTGTGCAAAGTTAGAGTTAGAAGAGTGATAAATGTATAAAAGGTGACAATAGAACATTAGACATTTACAAGCCTTGTCCCACACTGCTACTTAAAGGTATGGCATATTTAAAAGTATAAATATCCAAAGAGAGATTGCAGACATTGGCTTTAAGGTTCTCATAATGCTGAAAGAGAAGAAGAAACTAAAGCATGCAGCAGTAACTCAAGATTTGAGTGGAAAATAGTTTTATCACAGATATGCTCCCTTCCTTAAATTAATGAAAACTAAAAAAAAAAAAAAAAAAAAAAGATTGAGGATTGTTAAATTTGTTCATCCCGGGCAGCACTGCTCCTTTAAAAAGATTAAAGGATCTCCAACTTCCCTAGCTCAAAAACTGATGATTGTTTCCATTTCTCTGCTCCCACACCTCTTTAAAAAAAGCAAAAACCCAGAACACGAGTATTGATACAGCATGGGTGTGTCCAGTCAGTGTCTCCCAAGGAGAGAATGTGTCAGTTACTACAATTGCTATACTCCTTTGGCTGACTCCTTCAACATTCTCCTTCCTACCAGTAAATACCATCTTGTAATTCATATTGCTTAAATCTTAGCATCATAAGATTTTTAGCCTCCATTCCTCTTTCAAAATTGATGTTTACATGGATTCATTTCTCTGTTTTCTACAGGCCATGTTCTAAACACATTCACTCCTAAATCCAACACAAGTGAAGGACCAGCCAGGATGAAAACACTTCAGCAATCATTTTGTTAAAAATAACATCCTGGTCATCGAGCTATGCATAAGCACAATAAAGTGTGCTAGTGTAAAGCACAGTAACAAAACTGCCCAAAGACTGTAGATGAGATACAACAGAAAAGGAATTAAGCATTAGTAATTTTTGCAAGTAACCCAGGTACAGTACATTTGATTTCATAGACGGTGTTTTCTGATGGTCAAGAAGGAAGAAGGGGCAGGAAAAGCTTGGCAAGGGAAGATGGAAACAGCACAACAGCTATTTTGCTTTTAATAAAGTCAATGTAATGACACTGAAGAATAGGAAGGTGACAAACACATCAATATATATTTTTCTGATAGGCAGCCTCTTTTGCTGCACCCGGGGTCAACAATCGCGCCAGCTCTGTTCTACTATTGCAGAAACACGCTTTTCATATTCCCGCTTGTTCTCCTGGTACAGCTGAGCAGCCTGGCTGTTTGCTGGACTATTGGGATTGGGTTCATCCAATAGAGACTAGAGAGACAATTTGTAAAATGTCAGTTCCTTAATGCAAAAAATATATGTTCAGAACAAACAATTATAAGGTAGTGACAGTCAATTGAATTGTCCCAAGTAACAGCTATATTTGTTGTCTTTAGCATACAAACTTAGTTACATTAATGTGCTAGT